GTTAAGACGTATGACGTCATGACATAAATTTATGTAATATAAGACGTATGACGTCATGATATAAATTTATGTAATAAAAGACGTATGACGTCATGATATAAATTTATGTAATATAACATTTCCTCAATATGAAGGAAGGAATCAACGAGGCAATAATATATCGAGTCAATTATACTAACCTAAAATAAAAACGTTGCCAACGTTGTTGCTATTTATTTAAAATGCTGCCATTAACGAACATTTTTCGACATAAAATGACGTCACATGCAATCACCGGCTTTCTTCAACAACAGAATAAGACATTAACAATAACATATTTAACGTTTGGCAATGTTATTTTTATTTCCTATTTTGTAAAACGTGTCATTTTTTTTTTATTATCAAACTCTACGATTTGAAAACGAGCAGTGTCAACACTTTTATCTGCAGCGACTTCCGAGACTGTTGCCATTCCGAAAAATGAGTGTGAAAATTAGCTTTTCCAGAGTTTTTAATTAATATCTCGGCTGATTAAATTCTTACGAAGATGAGAATGGTCAAAATGGCTTCCCATGAATTTTTGGAATCGGGGAGGGTACCTATCTGGAAACTCAACTCCCCGCCATTCCGGAGGAGATATTGCCACAAACAAACAAGAAGCGCACAGATTTTAATAGTATAAATTATATTATATTAACCTTTCGCTCACTGAGCCCAACTAGGTAATCTGAAACAGCACATACAATACCTTCGAAATACATCGCTGATATAAGTGAAAGTGTTTCTCTTAAAATGTGATTTGGTGCTCCATAAAAGCATAGAAGAATGCTGACTCAGCTTCTGAATTTATGACTAAGTTTACACTGGGTAGCGCTTATATTAATACTAGCAGAAGTACCCGGTGCCAGTTAAGTTAGATCTAACAACAGAGATAACGATACCGTTGTTATCTTTCTCTAATAACGATGCAAAAAATACGATTCATAGTCATACATTTTTTTCAGTCTGATGCGATATGGAACCCACATAAAAATTTCGATAGAAAATAAGCGAATTCTCTCATTATATTAGCAAATATTGCACGCAGTTTTTAATGATTTTCGTCTTCCTAATCAAATGGTCGTAAAAGCTCAAGTTCCATCCGATATTTCATCTATATTCAGCTTTAGTCGATTAAATGCGGTAAAACATTTATCATAATTGATCAGAAATCAATAAAGAGAACAAACAAACACACAAACAGACATTTATATGTATATAGATTTTGTAAAACTTATAAAATTTTGATTAACAAACTCTACGATTTGGAAGAGAGCACTAGCAACACTTTTCGAAAACATATGATGTGTACACCAACATGACTTCCTTGTACGGAATAATAAATTATACGGATTTTTCTTCCCTTTCATTTAAACTTATGTCCTCAAATTTCATTAGAGATATATTTCTCATTCAATTAATTTAGTTCTCACTTTGTGACAAAGCAAAAATGCATAAACCCTCAAAATATCTATGTTAAAAATTGAAAGATACAGAAAACCATAAAACACCAAATACAGTTAAAACAGTTTAAAAACGTTTTTACAGTTAAAATTACAGTTTCTACGCAACAGCAAGCAATTCGGCCAGAGGGCAAGAGGGCACATTTTTTCGGTGCATAAAACTCAATTTACTTTTGGTCTCACTCGGCAATACACTGTAAGACACTGAAGGCGCAGAAACTGATTTCATTTGTTGTGGATGATGCTATGCTGAGTCAATATATGGGATAATTTAATAACTTAACTGATAATTCCAGAATGGATTAAGCATAATTTAATTCGCAATAATAAAAGAAGACGTTACTTTGTTGTTTCTCTAGTTTGGCAAAACACTCACTATTCTGCTAAGTTTCAATTGTAAACAAATATGGCTGCTATAGTAAAATAATAAAGCTTAGTCGCACTTACCCTTTAAATTGTTGATAATTCTACAACTATAATATGCAGCCAACTAAAGGCATACATAAGATAAGAACAACGTAATTTAATCAATTTTAAACCAAAAAATGTACAATTTACAAATATATAAGAATGAAGAAACTGAGCTCACTGATCCGAGTAACAGAGTGGATGTATATATATACCTATATTTATAGGCTTATGATGCGGCCGATTGCAACCAAAATAGGAGGTGCACATCTACATGTTATAGCAGTCCTATATATAAATCGAATATGAAAAATATATAAGACAACATTTATTTTCTGAAAAGACAATTTTTTGGTAATATATATATATATATATATTAGAGTCTGATATATTTAGCAAGGAAGTATGTCAGTTACAGTTGTCGTTAAGCTAAAAGAAAAAGTATTGGTTCTTTTGAGTGAAACTAGCGCAGCATGACGTGGAAATTGTAACTAGGGTGGGGCAGATGGATTTCATTTCCTTTCTCGAAAAACCTTACTCTGGACTGAGCCAGACAATTCGATTGGTCTTTATGTAGTAACGAAAACAACATTTGTGGGCCATCGGTCTTCTGTAAGGAATAAAAGGAGCTGTAAGGAATACAAATTTAAACTAGTATTTTCTACTTGAGAATAACAATGTAATAGTTATAAATATTACATTTCCGTATTTATTTGTGCTCTTTCGAAGCTTTATTTCATTTTTAGAACATCGTTGTAATCGGCTTTTTAAGTATTATTAGGGAAGGATTCTTTGCTCAGAACTGTTAGCTTTCCTAGGAGTTTCTTCTTTTTTATCAATCGCATATTCTTATCAGGTTCAGAATAATGTTTCATCTCTGAGACATAATTAAAATTACTCTCAGCATATCATTAGATATTTAACAGATGTAATATCCCAGATCATAAGCTGAATTCTGCCTTCAGTTTTATTCCTGACCTTTCTATATAGTTTGCTTGAAATCCTTTCTTGTGGCTTCACTTTCTGAGCTATTAATGTTACACCCCTAAATTTTAAAAATTCATCGAAAGGTGCGAAGATAACCATATTTCAGGAAATTACTCCCATTAACACAAGAAACGTAAGTGTTATTTGTTACATCCTAAAGAAAATATTCAAATAAAATTTTTAATAAATGTGTAAAAATTATAGCATTTGAGCGCTTGTCATATGTGAACCGATTCGCTGTGGAATAATAGAAAGCAAAACTTCGGTTTAAAATTCATGATGCTCTTTCGATGAAAAGAAAGGTAGTTTCAATTATGTTCCGAAATTTGCGTAAATATATTGACATTAAAAAATGTGCATTCATGATCAGTTAATTCCTATAATTTTTCTATGATCTCCATTATTTGCAACGCACATCTTTATGAGATTTGCAGTTCCATCTCTTTTCCTTCTTTTTAACCCATTCAAAATTTTATTTAGATTTTTAAAGGCATTTAACATTTCTAGCTGGGAAACTCTCTTGAAATGTTAAAGTTACATAATTTATATTCTTCGCAGTTTTAAATGTCAGGAAATTTATTTCTACTCATAATTTTGATAAAATTTATCTTTTAAAATACTGGAGTTTAATAAAATAATTCAAAGTCTAAAACCATGGTCAGTGTTTTCGAAATAGCTCGCATATAAAGCGGTACCAGACATATAGCAATTATGAAGGAAACAGCTCATAAGACTTCAGTGAATGTAAAATTCTCATAACATTGTAAGGTTTATCCTAAGTTTTTAACAGTTATCTTTAGTTAAAGCTAGCTACTTTCCTATCCTTCCTAATTTCGGCTTACAATTTCCTACCAGAATGTGTTTTTAGAATCGCGTTTAATGCAAATAAGTAAGAGCCGTATTTAAGGCGAAGTTCCACTGACTTCGTTAGAGAGCAAGAGTTCCTGACTAGCGCGCGCACGGCTTTTGGGCTGCATCTCTCTCTAAGCTGTTACTACTCTCGACCGTATTTCAGGCCCTTGGCAGGTTGCTAGCTTATTCGATATTTAGGGGCCAATTACTTAGAATCTTGATAACTTCGGCTATATCTTTTTAGTTAAGCCTTAGCTATGTTTCATTTCTTATTACTTTGAATTGAAACCCAAGTGAAGGCTTTTCTGTACGCTCTGAGAAAGGAGCTGACTGTTAAGTTCTTACTTTGAGAAATAAAGGGTAATTAACCCTTTTTGAGTTTTACGTCTCTGTTTCTGAACTAAAGCGATTATCCGCTTACCTGTTCACGAGGTTTCTACACATTTAGCTGTTAGATAAAAGGTTGGAACCGCACAACATAAATAGCTATTTTACGCATGTTATATTTCTGCTGGTATTTAATATCAAATTTGATACGGATTAATAGTAGTCCGAGACAACCAGCCGATGGGAATGACGTAATATGAATGGGTAGTTATGAATACCAACGTCATTTTGAAGGCACTTAATACCTATAAATGATGTACTCACATCCATTTTCAATGGTATCGTGTATTGTTTCAAGTTCAATTTGTATCTCTTAAGAAAAAGACGATTTTTGAAAGTTTTATTTTTACTTTGTGACACTAATTTTCCTCCATCTTGAACCACGTCTTTGTGGTGGCATCAGCAAAGTTTTTTTTTCTTTTTTCTTTTTTTTTTTTTTACTTATCTAGCGTTAGCCGTTTCATACGTTTGTGTACATCCGCTACGGAGAACGATTGTATTCATAAAACCCAATTAAATTCCCTTAAAATTGAAGTCACTTTCTCTTAGCCTATCAGCATTCAGATAACGTTAGTAATATTTCCGACCCGAGATACAGCTACCGAAAAAATTCAAGCATTTCTTTCCTTGTTTTCTCCCTGATTATACCCCTTTTTTGGCTGTTGTAAAATAGGCGATTGTTTATTAGTTGTTTATTTCTTTGTTATATTTTCATTTTGCTTCTTTATTGCTTCGAACTTGAATCCAACACAGCAACAAAATCTCAAAGGTACTCATGTCAGTAACTTTTAAAATACTGTTTATGACATTTTAATGCTTTAAAGAAAAGTTATTTAGTATTTTTGAGCTTCAAATATGTTTTTAATTTTGACTACTTTTTTTCAGATGGTATTAGACAAGATGTGCTCTTACTCAACCACAAGGTAGTCTGAGACAAATGGATAAACCCTAGTACCAAAGAGAAACAAAACAATAAAAAAAAAGAAAAAAAAAGCTGAAAAAGTCATTTTGAGTGAAAGGTTATGAATTTTTTAATTAAGAAACGCCTATATTGTTTGATATCTTACCCAAATTTTTTGTCTATATTGCTTGTCTATCAAATGTCTTATTTTTTCTGTAGCGCAAAAAGCTCTTTACTGGAGATAGTATTTCGGAAAAGCTCACACACACTACTAAGATCATTTTTGTTGGAGTCACTGTTTAAAGGGAAAATTTGCTGTCTGCATCCGAGAATATGCTAAACACGGGAACTGTTATTATCCGGTAAGACATAGGGTGAATTTCAAACTTTGGTGCTTGAATCTTTTTGCAACTAACATTACAGAAAACGAAGAGACTGGCATATTAGCCAAGGAGGCTGCAAAGGGAATCAATGCCATTAAAATAGGCATCCCCTTGTTAGCTTCACACCTGAAACTAAAACTAAAAATCACACCTAAAGAATTATATCAACAATGGCGGGATGCTGCAAATACAAGGAGAAGAGTTTACAACCTCTTCCCCAAAGCTGATTCATTCCACATCCATCTCTTCAGACATATCACGTGGTTTATTATAGAGCATTTTCATTATAAAGTCTTGCTCAGATGCGCATTGTAGAGGAGTTTCAAAAAATGATAGCAATAAAGTAAATACTTGGCAAAATTTATAAATAATTAAACAAGAAAGAATAATTAAACATGTCAATTTTCTTCAGTTCTCTCATCTCAGCAGTTTATTTTCACAATTTCTTGTAAACTTATAAGTATTTCTCCCGCCTTCTTGGCATGCTTTCGTAGTGTGGTGGGCTGCACGCTGGGCGCGTATTCCATACGTCCGTGGTTCGATTCTCGGGCGAAGGTGTTGTACATTTTTTTTTTGCACAGAAGCACGTGGTTGCTTCTGTTGCAGCACGTGTTGCAGGTGTTGCACAGAAGCACGTGGGAAAGATCCTACGTGCTTCTGTGCAAGAAATCTCTCCTCAGCAGACTCCTGTGCATGTGGTGAAAAGTGGGTCGCCCCGGACATTACTCTCCTGCCCGTTACAGATTCCCTTCATCTGAAGCCGAATTCAGAAGAGAATTTGCTCCCATTTCTAAGACATGCAGTCAAGAATAAGCACTTGAGAAATAAAATTACGAAGGTTATTGACTTTGGGGCTGCTAGAAGTCAAAAGCTGTGTAGTGTAAATTAGCCTTCAAAGAAATGATCCAGCAACAGCGAAACAAAGCAATTAAATGCAGATATAATGTACGCGGGCGTACCTTTACAGGAAAGAAATAAGCATGGCAAACCATATGAAGCATAACATAGGACACTTACAAGTAGGGTAAAGGGCTACTACCTATTTACTTATAATAGATGGCCGCCTACATTTCTGTGTAACACAAGGTAATATCACTTCAAAAGCGAACACATATATTAAATTGTCAAAATTGAGTTGGTAAAGTATTAACAATGTAATATATCATAGAAAGTAATTTATGTAAACTAATTATTATAAAAACACACGAAATTGCATACAATGAACTTGTAGAGACATTACGTATTTTTGGAAGCAGGCAAGATGAAAAATTAGCAACGCCTTTGCCGGGAACTGAACCGCGGACATCTGGAATACGTGCCTAGTGTGCAGACCACCACACCACGAAAGCATGCTAGAAAGGCGGAAGAAATACCTTATATACTCCCCCTTTCAAAGGGCGACTGGAGTTTTTAGGGGACCCAGTCGCCAAATCCTGGGCGTGGAAAATCATCATCCAACACCCTTTTAGTTCGGGCGCTACTGTAGAAGCATTAGTAATTTTTTTTTTTTTTGAGATGAAAAAATTTACAACACCTTCGCCCGAGAATCGAACCACGGGCTTATGGAATACGCGCCCAGCGTGCAACCCACCTCACTACGAAGGCATGCCAAGAAGGCGGGAGAAATACTTATAAGTTTACAAGAAATTGTGAAAATAAACACTGCTGAGATGAGAGAACTAAAGAAAATTGACATGTTTAATTATTTTTTCTTGTTTAATTATTTATAAATTTTGCCAAGTATTTACTTTATTGCTATCATTTTTTTAAACTCCTCTACAATGCGCATCTGAGTAAGATTTCATAATGAAAATAAAACCACGCTTGAAACTAATTTGATTTATTAAAATACCAATTCAATAAGTTTTACCATATGCCACGAATTTTCCAATATTTATTTGAGCCTTACAAATTGTAAAAAAATGATTTGCGATTGCGATCATTTCAGAATCACACTAGAATTTACTAAAAATATTGTCGAATTATCGAATGTCAACTTGTTGCACATTTAAAGATAGTTCGAAGATTTTTCTATTAAGTAAATGTTTTCATGAAAGTTCCGTTATTCAGAAAAGTGACCTTTCAAGTTAGTTTACTCTTCCACTTGTTTTCTAAGAGGACCTACTGGTGCTGAGAAAGCTGTTTTTGCTAAGAAATTGTTAGAGCTTAAAATATTCGATCCTATGCCGAAAAATATTATTTGTTTGCTATCAGCCTCTTTTTCATTTAATGAACAAATGAGAGTTTTGAAAGAGGTTTATCATCTAATTTCCAATCTCTAGTGTAATAAGTTTTTTGGATATTGACTTCTACCAGAAGAAAAAATTTTCAGTATTAGACAAAACAGAAATTAACATTTTTCAGGCTCCCAAGCATCTCTTCAGATATTATAAAATTTAGATTTTTGTTCCACATTTGTAAAGTTTTGTGAGATCACATCAAAAATTTGTCTGGTCTTAATTTCAGAATTTTGTCACGGAGAATCAAATAAATTGATGCATGCTTAACCGTCTAATATTCAAATCATAAACTGCGGTGACGGGCTATTGACAAAAAAGGCTTAAAATACTATAGCTGATAATTGTATGAGCTAGCAAGCGCTACTCATTTAACCAGACATTTTACAAAAAGAAGCCATCCCTATAATCTTTCAGTCATTTTTATAGCGCATTTTTTTCGTCAAAGCAGTTTTACTCTTTTCCATTGATGTGCTAGAAAAATAATATTTTTTTTTTATTATCCCTTGAAACAGTATATTATACCGTATATTTAGGGCTTAAAAACGGCAGGAGTACCTGCTGAGCTAGTTCTTATTTTTTAAGCAATTATGCATTAATTCTTACGTACGTGCATTCTAATCTAAGTAGAAGATCTTAGCCGAATTTTATTTTGAGTAAAACTGCAATTTCGGCCGGAGCTCCAAATAAGATGAAACCCAATATTTTATTTTATTATTTAACTATTTATCATTAGTTAACCAATTTATGATATTTTTATTTACCTCTTTAAATTTTATTGAATTTTAGTTTTAATTTAATTATTTTAATAATTAGTTATTTCATTTATCTATTTGTCCTTCCTGATGGCTTTCCCTAGGGTTCCGAAACTTCTAACTTTAGATTTTAAGCCTTGATTAGAAAAGGAAATATTTTTTAGAAAATATAGTTTAATCAGAAAGGTTATTTAACTTATTACATGAAAGTTCAGACAGCAAATATCAGCAGTAATTTTTACAAATTCTTAGAACTAGTTTCGAAGTTTGACTACAGAGCCTGCTTCTTCAGCTGCAAAAAATGTTGAACTGCCATCACATGGGCCATCACAAAGAACACCCAAAACTGACTCGACCTTTTTAAAAGGACTGTAAGGAAACCAGCTGACAAAATAAAAAATGCCTGTTTTTAAGAAAAGACATCTTCTGATTTAAAAAAAATGTAGCGGTTTCGTATCCTTCCTGATTCACGAAGTAGTAGTAGGTTTCTTGTAATACCTTATCTATGAGTAACAGTAAGGTATTTGCTCTGATGCCTTTGAACACAATAGTTTGAATATGAATATTTGAGTAGTTTAGATATATAAAATTCAACAGTTCTTGAAAACAAAAATGGACATTGTATAAAATACTAAACTATGCTTCCAGATTAAAAGAAAACTCTCCTGAACTATCTTCTGAAAAACGCTTTTGATAAAGCAGGAAAAAAAATGCAAATATTTCCCGTTAAAAAGAAAATAACAGAATTTTTACAGCAGCATGAGATTTCCTGGATGCAGAATAAAGGACTGATTCTAGACGATAATATGTTTTGGGGCACAAATAATATATAACTCGCAAATGTTCTATTCAGAAACATAACTCGAAAATCCATTCCTTTTACACAGTTTAAAGAAATACTGAATGTTAATAATGTAATGAATAAAACATTAATGTGGCTGAAATTGTAAAAATGTTTGTTATGCTTCGAATATGAAAAAAAACTAACGGCCGATAATATTAACTTTTTCTTACTAAGCTACGATATTATTTTTAATTTTTGAAAAAACAATTATTTCCTAGAAAATAACAGGAAAAACATTTTTTTGTTGGAATTTTTCTAGCGAAATAAAAAAACTCACTTTTTCGTTTAATAAATATTTATTTATCATTTTTAGTTATTATTTTTGCTAATTATGCATTTAAATCTTTTCATACATTCTAAAATAAAAATTGTTAATATATATATATATAATTTATTTACTAATGAAATATTGATTATATTATTTCCTAAGATTAATTTTAGTAGAATTATCTAAAAAGAGTGAATCCATAGTAGTTAGTAAGCTTAATTCCGAAAATTGTTTTAAAGTAACTTGAATGTAAATTGTTAAAAATGTTTAAGGGGGACATGAATTAAATCGTGAATAACAAAATTTCAATTGTAAAAAGAAATTAAAAGCATAGTTTTTCCTTCAGAAAATTTGATCAGATTATAATTCCTGGAGCACCTTCAAAAAGACTAAAATTCATGAGAGAACTTCAAAAATATATTAAAATTTTAAATCAGAAGCATATACTAAAATACAGTAAAATTAATTTTAAATTTGCGAAGCATGGCTAAAGAAGTTCACAAAACAGATTATACATAAAATAATAATAATTGAGAATCGGAAAGCAGATCTTAAAAATTTGAAAGTATCTGTAATTAGTATTGTGGCTAGCTTGTGAGAAAACAATTTTGTCATAATAATTGAAGAATGCATTTTAAATTATCAGGTTAATAATTCATAGATGCGGTTTCATATGGAAATTGAATCTATTTCATGAAACGATACTGATTATTTTTTTTTAATTTTACTTTAATAAAATTATTACAAGACTGCAAAGCCCTGCAAAACATTTATGCAAATTCTATAATAAATTGAAATTCAAGCTTGAGTTCTATCATAAAATATTCTTTCCAGCACTTCCGATTTTATAATATTAAAAGCTAACCCTAAAGCAT